GGAGTAGGAAGGGGCAGGAAACAATATACCAGAGGAGTTATGGTAGTCCAGCTGCGGATGTCTGGGGCTGACACTCAAGCGAGAGACCGCGGTCCTCTTGGTTAATGAGTAAAATGTCATAGATTAAGTCACTTCATCCCCGCCTGCGTATAACGTGAGGTGATTATGACGGGGGAGTCTGTATGCCCAGTATATACGTGCTGGGACAAGGTGCTGGGATATGAGGACAAGGTGCTGGGATATGAGGACAAGGTGCTGGGATATGAGGACAAGGTGCTGGGATATGAGGACAAGGTGCTGGGATATGAGGACAAGGTGCTGGGATATGAGGACAAGGTGCTGGGATATGAGGACAAGGTGCTGGGATATGAGGACAAGGTGCTGGGATATGAGGACAAGGTGCTGGGATATGAGGACAAGGTGCTGGGATATGAGGACAAGGTGCTGGGATATGTGGACAAGGTGCAGGGATATGAGGACAAGGTGCTGGGATATGAGGACAAGTTGCTGGGATATGTGGACAAGGAGCTGAGATATGAGGAGAAGGTGCTGGGATATGAGGACAAGGTGCTGGGATATAAGAACAAGGTGCTGGGATATGAGGACAAGGAGCTGGAATATAAGAACAAGGTGCTGGAATATGTGGACAAGGAACTGCATGATTCTCCCTAGCGTGTCCTCCATGAAGCTCCCTAGGGCCAACTAGGCACCGATGATTCCTAGCTGCTGGGTCTCGTGACGTCATATTCCTAGATCCCCATGCAGGGCACCTAGACCTATACTTAGTCAACGTATATACAGACGCGTTAGATATATATAAAATACAATATATATATATACAAGGATACTACATTTAGCCATGGTAGCTGGGAGAGCGTATGGGTGTGGGTGGAAGGGGGTGTGGGAGTGGGTGGGAGGGCGTGTGAGGGTGGGACAGAGGCGTGACCCACCATTGTGTAGGGACGGGACGGGATGGGACGGGAAGGGACCGGCACTCAGGGGAAGCCGGAGGTACAAGGGACGTGTCACCACACAGGTATACAAGGACTAGTGACAGGTTTTCTCGGTTCCTGTCACGAGGTGGAGGGGGCGAGGAGCCCCACGCTGACCCACCAGGTTCCCAGAACATTGGATTAGATTTAAGCTAATTTCAGAATGAGAACGTGTCCCTCCCCCCAGCATTTCCCCCCCCCCAGCGTGTCCCCCCAGCTGGTTCACAAATATCGAGGCAAACAAGAGTGGTGTGATGATGCCAGACCCATGAATAGGTCCCCCACCATCCTAATGAATAGGTCCCCCACCATCCTAATGAATAGGTCCCCCACCATCCTAATGAATAGGTCCCCCACCATCCTAATGAATAGGTCCCCACCATCCTAATGAATAGGTCCCCCACCATCCTAATGAATAGGTCCCCACCATCCTAATGAATAGGTCCCCCACCATCCTAATGAATGAGTCCCCCACCATCCTAATGAATGAGTCCCCCACCATCCTAATGAATGGGTCTCGTAAGCTCTCCCCATCCCTACACGGGGGAGGGATCCACCCCCCCCCCCCCGCTGGCCATCGTCGCCATAAAAAATCGTCCCCTTCGAATATTATCAGATTTACTCAAATATTCTTAACTTTTTACACAGCTAATAGTTTACTTGTTCCAGTGTGTGTGTGTGTGCGTATGTGTGTGTGTGTGTGTGTGTGTGTGTGTGTGTGTGTGTGTGTGTGTGTGTGTGTGTGTGTAGGTGTATGTGTGTGTGTGTGTGTGTGTGTGTGTGTGTGTGTGTGTGTGTGTGTGTGTGTGTGTGTGCATTCATCTGTAAACGAGATGTTAATTTACGTCGACCAACTCTAGGACCAGGGCGTCGACCAGCTCTAGGACCATGGCGTCGACCAGCTCTAGGACCATGGCGTCGACCAGCTCTAGGACCAGGGCGTCGACCAGCTCTAGGACCATGGCGTCGACCAGCTCTAGGGCCATGGCGTCGACCAGCTCTAGGACCAGGGCGTCGACCAGCTCTAGGACCATGGCGTCGACCAGCTCTAGGACCATGGCGTCGACCAGCTCTAGGACCATGGCGTCGACCAGCTCTAGGACCATGGCGTCGACCAGCTCTAGGACCATGGCGTCGACCAGCTCTAGGACCATGGCGTCGACCAGCTCTAGGACCATGGCGTCGACCAGCTCTAGGACCATGGCGTCGACCAGCTCTAGGGCCATGGCGTCGACCAGCTCTAGGACCATGGCGTCGACCAGCTCTAGGACCATGGCGTCGACCAGCTCTAGGGCCATGGCGTCGACCAGCCCTTAGAGCGTGGTAGTGTTTATTAGTTTACCACAGCTAGATCTGTGTTATATTTTAACACGTGCGCCCTGTCTGTTTGTTATTGTGGAGCGGCCCTTGCCTGAGGCCAGGGAGGAGAGGCTAGGCTTGCCTGAGGCCAGGGAGGAGAGGCTAGGCTTGCCTGAGGCCAGGGAGGAGAGGCTAGGCTTGCCTGAGGCCAGGGAGGAGAGGCTAGGCTTGCCTGAGGCCAGGGAGGAGAGGCTAGGCTTGCCTGAGGCCAGGGAGGAGAGGCTAGGCTTGCCTGAGGCCAGGGAGGAGAGGCTAGGCTTGCCTGAGGCCAGGGAGGAGAGGCTAGGCTTGCCTGAGGCCAGGGAGGAGAGGCTAGGCTTGCCTGAGGACCTGGGAGAAGAGGTCGGGCTTGACTCTGGGCTTGGGGAGGAGAGGCTTACCTGAGGGCTTGGGGAGGGGGGGAGACAGGGCTTATTTACAAATAAAAAATAATCACATGAGTTTGAGGAGTTGTGTGTGTGTGTGTGTGTGTGTGTGTGTGTGTGTGTGTGATGTGACCTGACAGCCTTCCTCTCTGCTCACATCTCCTTACACATCCCAGTCTTGAGGTGTTAGACATTTGTCCTTCCTCCCCCCCTCTCTCTCGCTCTGCTCCACCCCTCTCTTTCTTCCCGTCTCACACCCTCCGCCCCTCAAGCCCCCCAACCCATCACCCCCTGCACTCTCAGGCCCCTCGTCCCTTCTAAGACCCAACCCTGGCTTGTCTCAGACCCCGCCCTGTCAGACCCCGTCCTGTCAGACCCTGCCCTCTCAGACCCTGCTTCTGTTTGAGAGGGTCGGGCGGACGCTTTCAAACTTCCACCTATCTTTGAACCTGCGCTTATCAGCCCCCCCCTCTGATGTCCAGCCCCCTTGGAGCCCCGCCCCTCCCCCAGACCCCGCCCTCCTTGCCCCCCCCAGTGATGAACACATCTCTGGCACCCAGCACTTGGCTAGGCTGTGTTGATGGCTGCAGGTCGCTAGGGCCAACTGGCACTCTTATGGTGAGGGGCAGTTTGAGTACCGCCTCTAGTTGGCACTGTCCTGTGGTGAGCGACAGTACCGCCTCTAGTTGGCACTGTCCCGTGGTGAGCGACAGTACCGCCTCTAGTTGGCACTGTCCCGTGGTGAGCGACAGTGCCGCCTCTAGTTGGCACTGTCCCGTGGTGAGCGACAGTACCGCCTCTAGTTGGCACTGTCCCGTGGTGAGCGACAATACCGCCTCTAGTTGGCACTGTTCCGTGGTGAGCGACAGTACCGCCTCTAGTTGGCACTGTCCCGTGGTGAGCGACAGTGCCGCCTCTAGTTGGCACTGTCCCGTGGTGAGCGACAGTGCCGCCTCTCACCATGGGGCAGTGCCAACAGTACTGGTGGTACGGGGGTTCTTGTAGTAAGGTAACAGTGCTGCCTTACTGGGGCGTCTCTTACCTCACTGTACACAGTTATCTGGGGAAGCTTGTCATGGTAACAAATGGTAGATGATGTGGTGGTAGTTGTGGTAGTAACGGTAGTTGCGGTAGATACGGTAGTTGCGGTAGTAGACTATCTAGAGTAGATTGTCTCACACACCCCTAGAGGTGTTGTTCTTTGAGTATCTTATGGAAAGTTATTCTTATATTTTTGTTATATTACGGGTAACAGTATTCTTGAAGTGTGAGCAGCTGCTCTGAGAGTCCACACTGCTGGCTGTCAGCCCGGGGACTGGCTGTCAGCCCTGGGACTGGCTGTCAGCCCTGGGACTGGCTGTCAGCCCTGGGACTGGCTCTCAGCCCTGGGACTGGCTGTCAGTGCTGGGACTGGCTGTCAGTGCTGGGACTGGCTGTCAGTGCTGGGACTGGCTGTCAGCCCGGGGACTGGCTGTCAGCCCCTGGGACTGGCTGTCAGCCCCTAGGACTGACTGTCAACCCTGGGACTGGCTGTCAGCCCTGGGACTGGCTGTCAGCCCTGGGACTGGCTGTCAGCCCTGGGACTGGCTGTCAGCCCTGGGACTGGCTGTCAGCCCTGGGACTGGCTGCCGGTCCTGGGACTGGCTGTCAGCCCTGGGACTGGCTGTCAGCCCTGGGACTGGCTGCCGGTCCTGGGACTGGCTGTCAGCCCTGGGACTGGCTGTCAGCCCCTGGGATTGGCTGTCGGTCCTGGGACTGGCTGTCGGTCCTGGGACTGGCTGTCAGCCTGGGACTGGCTGTCAGCCCCTGGGACTGGCTGTCGGTCCTGGGACTGGCTGCCGGTCCTGGGACTGGCTGTCAGCCCCTAGGACTGACTGTCAGCCCCTAGGACTGACTGTCAGCCCCTAGGACTGACTGTCAGCCCCTAGGACTGACTGTCAGCCCCTGGGACTGGCTGTCAGCCCCTGGGACTGGCTGTCAGCCCTGGGACTGGCTGTCAGCCCTGGGACTGGCTGCGAGCGGTGGGACCTACACGTTCACCCCGGGGATATTGTCAGCGTTGATGTCACCCCGGTGATGGTCAGCTGGTGGTGGCGGCAGCTCACCGTTGCTGCGACCTTCTAGTGCGGTTGCCCGCGCGTGGGTGGTGACCTGCGGGGAGAGTTCTGGGAAGGAGCGTGTGTGGGCAGGTGTGTGGGGGGGGGGGAGGTGTGGGTGGCGGGGGCGGGGCAGTGCGGGGTGCCCTGATGGCCGCCGCTGCCGCCGCTGAGGTGTGGCGTGCCCGCGCCAGTCTCAGTAGCACCCGCGCCGCCGTCGCATCACCAGTGCCGTCTCGTGTCTCTCGTCCGCCCTCACACCCACCCACCTGAGAGCCTAATCCACGCCACGCCCAGGCTCTGTGGCACACTCTTTGGCACTTGTTTGGGTCGCATCCCGCTGTTGACGGAAGTGTCAAGACCTGTGCCATCTCTGCCAAAAGTTTGACAAGTGCTTGCGAGTAACAATTTTTGGCGGGGAATACTACACCCATTCATGTTAAGATGTAGAACGTGCTTGCAGCGACCAGATCCTTCCTGCGAGTCAAGACAGGGATCCTGTCTACCTTTTCCAAAGGACTGGAACCTAATATTTTACAAGATAAAGTTGGTGCTTGGCTGATTAACCGAGTGTTGCCATTATTTGTGTGAGTGTGTGGAAAATATAAGTCTCATGCTCTAATATATACATGAAGTAAAATGCTGGTGTATTTGTGTGTAAAGTGTGTGTTGGTGCAGCATGGGTAACAGTGAAGGCAAGTTAGCAAGAGGAAGGAGGCATGTAGAGCCGCCATACAGCACTGCGCGACCACTGCCGCCCCTACCCACTGATGAATACGAGGAGGGGGATGATCTAGACGTCCCACCACCATACCCACCACCGCCGCCTCCAGGGCAGGACCACAAGCGGTACTCCTGGCGGCTTAGGGACTCCGCCGTCTTTGGCCAGAGCGATAACAAGAGGCGCTCCTGGCTACTCAACTTCTCCAACGGTAACGACAACAATGCGAAGGGTAAATTGGCGAAAGACGGTAAGGATGTCAATGATGTTCAGTTAAAAACAGGTGCAGGTAGCAGGGAGATTTTGAGTGACCCCGGTGTGAGGGGCTCCACGCAGGAGCCACGTTTAGACATTGACAGTCCCTCCTGGGAGGTTGACAGCAAAGGTGAACTAGATAAGAGTGTGAGTAGTGACACTCACTTGTACAGTATGGACTCCGAGAGAGAGTCCGGTCACTCGACCTGGCAGATACGAGACGGCAAGCTAATTAGTGTGACGAAGGACATCGTGAGAGGAGAGGACAACGACGCCCCAGGATACAGTCTTCTCCACGAATGTGTCAAACACGACCAGAGGATCGGTCTGCCGTCCCTGGAAATAAGTACCAATTCGAACATGAACGAAGATTTGAAAAATGTCATTGACGAATTACGAGGTAAACCTCATGTAGACAGCAAGACAACTGTTAAAACTGTCTCAGACGGTAAGGGAGGTTTTGTCACAGTCACAACCACAGAAAAAACTATTTCCTCCCAAGTCAGTATTAACGGGAGAGACATAAGATCAACTCCAAATGATTCTTTGAGTAAACTTGAAGCAGAGTTGACTGCTCTGCTCTCCCCGGAGTTAGATGTGCATGGAAGCTCAGAGGTGCCCAGAATAAATGGCAGACAATTGGATGCTCAAACTTCTGGGGTGGGATCAGGGATACACAGTAATGGAAACATGTTAGGAGGTACTCAAACATACAGTTCACACATACAACAGAGCTACAACATATCCATTACACCAAATCTTCCACTACCTGATATACAAGAATTCTCAAGAAAAGGTGTTCCGTTGCTTCCAGACCTTATAAAAGGAGATGGAAGGACAGGTTACGATAGTAAGAGTTCAACAGGGAGTGGTGACATGTCCTTCAATCTGGACACATCTGGCCATGGGTCAGACCTCAGGGTTGAAGGCAGGAGTCCGGACATGGCTCTCGGATTTGATAAGGCTGGGGCTAAATTCGATTTGAGAGCTGATGAGCCACACATCAAAGGAGATATTAGAGGAGATTATTCAGTTTCTGGAGAGGTTCCAAGTTCCAAGGTTAAAAGCAGGTTGAGAATCGGTGCTCCAGAGAATGACATTAATATTCCAGGTAGTCTCAGCTTCCCAAGTGGTGATATTCATAGAACAGTAATGATGCCATCTGCTGAAGTGTCAGTGTCACCAGTTCAGGGTGAAGGTGCTCTTGATGCCAGTCTTGGTGTTTCAGTTCCTGAAAGCGAAGCTAATATAGAGGTTGACTCTTCTAAACTCAAAGTAAAAGGAGAAAAGCCAAAAATAAAACTTGGTTCATGCTTTGGTAAACCAAAAAGCCCTCAAATAGAAGACGAATATAAACAGAGCAAATTGAACACTGAAGGTCCTGAGGCAAGTGCCAGTGCCACTATTAAGTCACCTCAGGCAGAGGTTCACACAGACTCTGCTCAGTTGAAAGTGGAAGTCAACACACCTGATGTTGACATTGAAGTTGATTCACCAAAACTGAAAACAAAAGCTGACAAACCAAAAGCTAAACTTGGATCTTGTTTCGGTAAACCCAAAAGTCCCAAAATTGAAGGTGAATATGAACCAGGTAAACTTGAGGGCCCAGAGGCCAGTGTTGAGGCTACTGTCAAAACCCCAGAAGTGAAAGGTGACATCAGTGTTGAGTCTCCAGACGTGAAAGTGAAAGGAGTGAAACCCAAAGCTAAACTTGGATCATGTTTCGGTAAACCAAAAAGTCCCAAAATTGAAGGTGAATATAAACCAGGCAAAGTTGACATTGAGGGCCCAGAAGTGGGAGGGAGTGCCAGTATAGAACCACTTGAGGCCCGAGCTGATATAGACGTTGAGGCACCTGAGCTTAAAGTAAAAGCTGGCACACCAGGTGCCACTATCGACATTGATTCACCTGAAGTGAAGGTGAAGGCAGGAAAACCAAAAGCTAAGTTACCTTCTTGCTTCGGTAAACCAAAGAGTCCTGAAATTGAAGGTGAATACAAACCAGGAAAAGTAGAATTGGAAGCACCAGAAGCCAGCGTTGGTGCTAGCATTAGCTCTCCTGAAGCTAAGGCTGAAGTCAACATTGAGCCTCCAGATGTGGAAGTTAAAGCAGGTAAACCAAAAGCTAAACTGGGATCTTGTTTTGGTAAACCAAAGACTCCGAAGGTTGAAGGAGAATATAAACCGGGTAAACTTGAAGTTGAGGGCCCCGAGATCAGTGCTGGGGCAAGTGTCAACACACCTGAAGCTAAGGCAGACATTGATATTGAATCACCTGATGTGAAAGTCAAAGGTGGAAAAGGAATTGGAAAGCCTAAATCCAAGTTTGGATCATGCTTTGGCAAACCCAAGGGAGCCGACATAGACGCTTCCTACCAGCCTGGAGAGCTGAAGTTTGAAGGTCCCGAAATACCAAAAGTACGAGCTGAAGTTCCTTCCATAGAAGGGAAAATGAAAGTGGAAACACCAAAACTTGATGTTAGTCCCTCAGTTGAAGTCGACATTCCTAAACTACCTGAAGTGAAGGGAGGATTTGGACTTGATATTGATGTACCAAAGATTGAGCCATCACTAAAAATTGAAGGTGATATTCCAGATTTACCCAAAGTTGAAGCTGAACTTGGAGGCAGGGGTAATATTCCAGATGTAGAGATTGAGGGAAAAATTCCTAAAGTTCCAGGAATTAAGGCTGATGTTGATCTTGATGGAATAACACCTGAAGTAAGATTTGAGGGTGAAATACCAGAATTACCAAAGGGAAAAGCCAGCTTGGACTTAAGTGGAGCCATCCCAAGTGTCTCTGGAGATATAAAAGGAATTGATATTTCACTACCAGATATTCCAAGTCCAAAGATTGAAGCAGAAATTAAAGGTGACCTGCCATCTGTTGAGGTCCCTGAAGCCAAGATTTCTCTGCCCTCAGGTCCCTCATTACCAGCTGCAGAGTTTAAGGGCGAAGTTAAGGCCCCAGAGTTAACTGGAACAGTGAAAATGCCACAACCTGAAGTTAAGGTCAAGAAAGCCAAATTAGGCCCATGTGCCTGTCTTGGTAAACAAGGAAAATTGAAAAAGGAGGAGCCGTATATGGCTGCTGAAGTTGGAGGAAAAGCTAAAGGAGAATTGAAAGGCATTGATGCTGGACTGGAGATTGAAAATGAAGGTTTGAAAGTTGAAGGTCCTGAGGCACAAGCCTCTCTCAGTGTGGAAGCTCCTGAATTAAAGACAAAGAAAGGGAAAGTATCAGGGAAGCCCAAAGCATCTTTGGGATCCTGTTTTGGTAAACCAAAGACTCCAACTGCAAGTGGTGAATATGCAGCTGATGCTGGTGTAGAAGGCTCACTTTCTATTGATCCCAAAGTTAAAGTTGAGGGTGAAGGTGTTGCCGGGCCCAGTGTTAGTGTTGCTCTTCCTGAAGGAAAGGCTGAGATCAAAGTTGACTCTCCCGATGTGAAGGTGAAAGGAGGAAAACCCAAAGCTAAACTGGGATCATGTTTTGGTAAACCCAAAAGTCCCAAAATTGAAGGTGAATATAAACCAGGTAAACTTGAGGGCCCAGAGGCCAGTGTTGAGGCTACTGTCAAAGCCCCAGAAGTGAAAGGTGACATCAGTGTTGAGTCTCCAGACATAAAAGTGAAAGGAGGGAAACCCAAAGCTAAACTTGGATCTTGTTTCGGTAAACCAAAAAGTCCCAAAATTGAAGGTGAATATAAACCAGGCAAAGTTGACATTGAGGGCCCAGAAGTGGGAGGAAGTGCCAGTATAGAACCACTTGAGGCCCGAGCTGATATAGACGTTGAGGCACCTGAGCTTAAAGTAAAAGCTGGCACACCAGGTGCCGCTATCGACATTGATTCACCTGAAGTGAAGGTGAAGGCAGGAAAACCAAAAGCTAAGTTACCTTCTTGCTTCGGTAAACCAAAGAGTCCTGAAATTGAAGGTGAATACAAACCCGGAAAAGTAGAATTGGAAGCACCAGAAGCCAGCGTTGGTGCTAGCATTAGCTCTCCTGAAGCTAAGGCTGAAGTCAACATTGATACTCCAGATGTGAAAGTGAAAGGAGGTAAACCAAAAGCTAAACTGGGATCTTGTTTCGGTAAACCAAAGACTCCGAAGGTTGAAGGAGAATATAAACCGGGTAAACTTGAAGTTGAGGGCCCCGAGATCAGTGTTGGGGCAAGTGTCAACACACCTGAAGCTAAGGCAGACATTGATATTGAATCACCTGATGTGAAAGTCAAAGGTGGAAAAGGAATTGGAAAGCCTAAAGCCAAGTTTGGATCATGCTTTGGCAAACCCAAGGGAGCCGACATAGACGCTTCCTACCAGCCTGGAGAGCTTAAGTTTGAAGGTCCCGAAATACCAAAAGTACGAGCTGAAGTTCCTTCCATAGAAGGGAAAATGAAAGTGGAAACACCAAAACTTGATGTTAGTCCCTCAGTTGAAGTCGACATTCCTAAACTACCTGAAGTGAAGGGAGGATTTGGACTTGATATTGATGTACCAAAGATTGAGCCATCACTAAAAATTGAAGGTGATATTCCAGATTTACCCAAAGTTGAAGCTGAACTTGGAGGCAGAGGTAATATTCCAGATGTAGAGATTGAGGGAAAAATTCCTAAAGTTCCAGGAATTAAGGCTGATGTTGATCTTGATGGAATAACACCTGAAGTAAGATTTGAGGGTGAAATAACAGAATTACCAAAGGGAAAAGCCAGCTTGGACTTAAGTGGAGCCATCCCAAGTGTCTCTGGAGATATAAAAGGAATTGATATTTCACTACCAGATATTCCAAGTCCAAAGATTGAAGCAGAAATTAAAGGTGACCTGCCATCTGTTGAGGTCCCTGAAGCCAAGATTTCTCTGCCCTCAGGGCCCTCATTACCAGCTGCAGAGTTTAAGGGAGAAGTTAAGGCCCCAGAGTTATCTGGAACAGTGAAAATGCCACAACCTGAAGTTAAGGGCAAGAAAGCCAAACTAGGCCCATGTGCCTGTCTTGGGAAACAAGGAAAATTGAAAAAGGAGGAGCCGTATATGGCTGCGGAAGTTGGAGGAAAAGCTAAAGGAGAACTAAAGGGTATTGATGCTGGACTGGAAATTGAAAATGAAGGTTTGAAAATTGAAGGTCCTGAGGCACAAGCCTCTCTCAGTGTGGAAGCTCCTGAATTAAAGACAAAGAAAGGGAAAGTATCAGGGAAGCCCAAAGTATCTTTGGGATCCTGTTTTGGTAAACCAAAGACTCCAACTGCAAGTGGTGAATATGCAGCTGATGCTGGTGTAGAAGGCTCACTTTCTATTGATCCCAAAGTTAAAGTTGAGGGTGAAGGTGTTGCAGGGCCCAGTGTTAGTGTTGCTCTTCCTGAAGGAAAGGCTAAGATCGATGTTGATTCTCCCGATGTGAAGGTGAAAGGAGGAAAACCCAAAGCTAAACTGGGATCATGTTTTGGTAAACCCAAAAGTCCCAAAATTGAAGGTGAATATAAACCAGGTAAACTTGAGGGCCCAGAGGCCAGTGTTCAGGCTACTGTCAAAGCCCCAGAAGTGAAAGGTGACATCAGTGTTGAGTCTCCAGACATGAAAGTGAAAGGAGTGAAACCCAAAGCTAAACTTGGATCTTGTTTCGGTAAGCCAAAAAGTCCCAAAATTGAAGGTGAATATAAACCAGGCAAAGTTGACATTGAGGGCCCAGAAGTGGGAGGGAGTGCCAGTATAGAACCACTTGAGGCCCGAGCTGATATAGACGTTGAGGCACCTGAGCTTAAAGTAAAAGCTGGCACACCAGGTGCCGCTATCGACATTGATTCACCTGAAGTGAAGGTGAAGGCAGGAAAACCAAAGTCAAAGTTTGGGTCTTGCTTCGGTAAACCAAAGAGTCCCAAAATTGAAGGTGAATACAAACCCGGAAAAGTAGAATTGGAAGCACCAGAAGCCAGCGTTGGTGCTAGCATTAGCTCTCCTGAAGCTAAGGCTGAAGTCAACATTGATACTCCAGATGTGAAAGTGAAAGGAGGTAAACCAAAAGCTAAACTGGGATCTTGCTTCGGTAAACCAAAGACTCCGAAGGTTGAAGGAGAATATAAACCGGGTAAACTTGAAGTTGAGGGCCCCGAGATCAGTGTTGGGGCAAGTGTCAACACGCCTGAAGCTAAGGCAGACATTGATATTGAATCACCTGATGTGAAAGTCAAAGGTGGAAAAGGAATTGGAAAGCCTAAAGCCAAGTTTGGATCATGCTTTGGCAAACCCAAGGGAGCAGACATAGACGCTTCCTACCAGCCTGGAGAGCTGAAGTTTGAAGGTCCTGAAGTACCAAAAGTACGAGCTGAACTTCCTTCCATAGAAGGGAAAATGAAAGTGGAAACACCAAAACTTGATGTTAGTCCCTCAGTTGAAGTCGACATTCCTAAACTACCTGAAGTGAAGGGAGGATTTGGACTTGATATTGATGTACCAAAGATTGAGCCATCACTGAAAATTGAAGGTGATATTCCAGATTTACCCAAAGTTGAAGCTGAACTTGGAGGCAGAGGTAATATTCCAGATGTAGAGATTGAGGGAAAAATTCCTAAAGTTCCAGGAATTAAGGCAGATGTTGATCTTGATGGAATAACACCTGAAGTAAGATTTGAGGGTGAAATACCAGAATTACCAAAGGGAAAAGCCAGCTTGGACTTAAGTGGAGCCATCCCAAGTGTCTCTGGAGATATAAAAGGAATTGATATTTCACTACCAGATATTCCAAGTCCAAAGATTGAAGCAGAAGTTAAAGGTGACCTGCCATCTGTTGAGGTCCCTGAAGCCAAGATTTCTCTGCCCTCAGGTCCCTCATTACCAGCTGCAGAGTTTAAGGGAGAAGTTAAGGCCCCAGAGTTATCTGGAACAGTGAAAATGCCACAACCTGAAGTTAAGGTAAAGAAAGCCAAACTAGGCCCATGTGCCTGTCTTGGTAAACAAGGAAAAGTGGAAAAGGAGGAGCCGTATATGGCTGCTGAAGTTGGAGGACAAGCTAAAGGAGAACTAAAAGGCATTGATGCTGGACTGGAAATTGAAAGTGAAGGTTTGAAAGTTGAAGGTCCTGAGGCACAAGCCTCTCTCAGTGTGGAAGCTCCTGAATTAAAGACAAAGAAAGGGAAAGTATCAGGGAAGCCCAAAGCTTCTTTGGGATCCTGTTTTGGTAAACCAAAGACTCCATCTGCAAGTGGTGAATATGCAGCTGATGCTGGTGTAGAAGGTTCACTTTCTATTGATCCCAAAATTAAAATTGAGGGTGAAGGTGTTGCCGGGCCCAGTGTTAGTGTTGCTCTTCCTGAAGGAAAGGCTGATATCGAAGTTGATTCTCCTGATGTGAAGGTGAAAGGAGGAAAACCCAAAGCTAAATTGGGATCATGTTTTGGTAAACCCAAAAGTCCCAAAATTGAAGGTGAATATAAACCAGGTAAACTTGAGGGCCCAGAGGCAAGTGTTGAGGCTACTGTCAAAGCCCCAGAAGTGAAAGGTGACATCAGTGTTGAGTCTCCAGACGTGAAAGTGAAAGGAGGGAAACCCAAAGCTAAACTTGGATCATGTTTCGGTAAACCAAAAAGTCCCAAAATTGAAGGTGAATATAAACCAGGTAAACTTGAGGGCCCAGAGGCCAGTGTTGAGGCTACTGTCAAAGCCCCAGAAGTGAAAGGTGACATCAGTGTTGAGTCTCCAGACGTGAAAGTGAAAGGAGGGAAACCCAAAGCTAAACTTGGATCATGTTTCGGTAAACCAAAAAGTCCCAAAATTGAAGGTGAATATAAACCAGGCAAAGTTGACATTGAGGGCCCAGAAGTGGGAGGGAGTGCCAGTATAGAACCACTTGAGGCCCGAGCTGATATAGACGTTGAGGCACCTGAGCTTAAAGTAAAAGCTGGCACACCAGGTGCCACTATCGACATTGATTCACCTGAAGTGAAGGTGAAGGCAGGAAAACCAAAGTCAAAGTTTGGGTCTTGCTTCGGTAAACCAAAGAGTCCCAAAATTGAAGGTGAATACAAACCCGGAAAAGTAGAATTGGAAGCACCAGAAGCCAGCGTTGGTGCTAGCATTAGCTCTCCTGAAGCTAAGGCTGAAGTCAGCATTGATACTCCAGATGTGAAAGTGAAAGGAGGAAAACCAAAAGGTAAACTGGGTTCTTGTTTTGGTAAACCAAAGACTCCCAAGGTTGAAGGAGAATATAAACCGGGTAAACTTGAAGTTGAGGGCCCCGAGATCAGTGTTGGGGCAAGTGTCAACACGCCTGAAGCTAAGGCAGACATTGATATTGATTCACCTGATGTGAAAGTCAAAGGTGGAAAAGGAATTGGAAAGCCTAAAGCCAAGTTTGGATCATGCTTTGGCAAACCCAAGGGAGCAGACATAGACGCTTCCTACCAGCCTGGAGAGCTGAAGTTTGAAGGTCTCGAAATACCAAAAGTACGAGCTGAACTTCCTTCCATAGAAGGAAAAATGAAAGTGGAAACACCAAAACTTGATGTTAGTCCCTCAGTTGATGTCGACATTCCTAAACTACCTGAAGTGAAGGGAGGATTTGGACTTGATATTGATGTACCAAAGATTGAGCCATCACTGAAAATTGAAGGTGATATTCCAGATTTACCCAAAGTTGAAGCTGAACTTGGAGGCAGAGGTAATATTCCAGATGTAGAGATTGAGGGAAAAATTCCTAAAGTTCCAGGAATTAAGGCAGATGTTGATCTTGATGGTATAACACCTGAAGTAAGATTTGAGGGTGAAATACCAGAATTACCAAAGGGAAAAGCCAGCTTGGACTTAAGTGGAGCCATCCCAAGTGTCTCTGGAGATATAAAAGGAATTGATATTTCACTACCAGATATTCGAAGTCCAAAGATTGAAGCAGAAGTTAAAGGTGACCTGCCATCTGTTGAGGTCCCTGAAGCCAAGATTTCTCTGCCCTCAGGTCCCTCATTACCAGCTGCAGAGTTTAAGGGAGAAGTTAAGGCCCCAGAGTTATCTGGAACAGTGAAAATGCCACAACCTGAAGTTAAGGTCAAGAAAGCCAAACTAGGCCCATGTGCCTGTCTTGGTAAACAAGGAAAAGTGAAAAAGGAGGAGCCGTATATGGCTGCGGAAGTTGGAGGAAAAGCTAAAGGAGAACTAAAGGGTATTGATGCTGGACTGGAAATTGAAAATGAAGGTTTGAAAATTGAAGGTCCTGAGGCACAAGCCTCTCTCAGTGTGGAAGCTCCTGAATTAAAGACAAAGAAAGGGAAAGTATCAGGGAAGCCCAAAGCATCTTTGGGATCCTGTTTTGGTAAACCAAAGACTCCAACTGCAAGTGGTGAATATGCAGCTGATGCTGGTGTAGAAGGCTCACTTTCTATTGATCCCAAAGTTAAAATTGAGGGTGAAGGTGTTGCCGGGCCCAGTGTTAGTGTTGCTCTTCCTGAAGGAAAGGCTGATATCGAAGTTGATTCTCCCGATGTGAAGGTGAAAGGAGGAAAACCCAAAGCTAAATTGGGATCATGTTTCGGCAAACCCAAAAGTCCCAAAATTGAAGGTGAATATAAACCAAGTAAACTTGAGGGCCCAGAGGCCAGTGTTGAGGCTACTGTCAAAGCCCCAGAAGTGAAAGGTGACATCAGTGTGGAGTCTCCAGACGTGAAAGTGAAAGGAGGGAAACCCAAAGCTAAACTTGGATCTTGTTTCGGTAAACCAAAAAGTCCCAAAATTGAAGGTGAATATAAACCAGGCAAAGTTGACATTGAGGGCCCAGAAGTGGGAGGAAGTGCCAGTATAGAACCACTTGAGGCCCGAGCTGATATAGACGTTGAGGCACCTGAGCTTAAAGTAAAAGCTGGCACACCAGGTGCCACTATCGACATTGATTCCCCTGAAGTGAAGGTGAAGGCAGGAAAACCAAAGTCAAAGTTTGGGTCTTGCTTCGGTAAACCAAAGAGTCCCAAAATTGAAGGTGAATACAAACCCGGAAAAGTAGAATTGGAAGCACCAGAAGCCAGCGTTGGGGCTAGCATTAGCTCTCCTGAAGCTAAGGCTGAAGTCAACATTGATACTCCAGATGTGAAAGTGAAAGCAGGTAAACCAAAAGCTAAACTGGGATCTTGTTTCGGTAAACCAAAGACTCCCAAGGTTGAAGGAGAATACAAACCGGGTAAACTTGAAGTTGAGGGCCCCGAGATCAGTGCTGGGGCAAGTGTCAACACACCTGAAGCTAAGGCAGACATTGATATTAAATCACCAGATGTGAAAGTCAAAGGTGGGAAAGGAATTGGAAAGCCTAAAGCCAAGTTTGGATCATGCTTTGGCAAACCCAAGGGAGCTGACATAGACGCTTCCTACCAGCCTGGAGAGGTTAAGTTTGAAGGTCCCGAAATACCAAAAGTACGAGCTGAAGTTCCTTCTATAGAAGGGAAAATGGAAGTGGAAACACCAAAACTTGATGTTAGTCCCTCAGTTGAAGTCGACATTCCTGAACTACCTGAAGTGAAGGGAGGATTTGGAATTGATATTGATGTACCAAAGATTGAGCCATCATTGAAAATTGAAGGTGATATTCCTGATTTACCCAAAGTTGAAGCTGAACTGGGAGGCAGAGGTAATATTCCAGATGTAGAGATTATGGGTAAAGTTCCAGGAATTAAGGCAGATGTTGATCTTGATGGAATAACACCTGAAGTAAGATTTGAGGGTGAAATACCAGAATTACCAAAGGGAAAAGCCAGCTTGGACTTAAGTGGAGCCATCCCAAGTGTCTCTGGAGATATAAAAGGAATTGATATTTCACTACCAGATATTCCAAGTCCAAAGATTGAAGCAGAAATTAAAGGTGACCTGCCATCTGTTGAGGTCCCTAAAGCCAAGATTTCTCTGCCCTCAGGTCCCTCATTACCAGCTGCAGAGTTTAAAGGAGAAGTTAAGGCCCCAGAGTTATCTGGAACAGTGAAAATGCCACAACCTGAAGTTAAGGTCAAGAAAGCCAAACTAGGCCCATGTGCCTGTCTTGGTAAACAAGGAAAATTGAAAAAGGAGGAGCCGTATATGGCTGCGGAAGTTGGAGGAAAAGCTAAAGGAGAACTAAAGGGTATTGATGCTGGACTGGAAATTGAAAGTGAAGGTTTGAAAGTTGAAGGTCCTGAGGCACAAGCCTCTCTCAGTGTGGAAGCTCCTGAATTAAAGACAAAGAAAGGGAAAGTATCAGGGAAGCCCAAAGCATCTTTGGGATCCTGTTTTGGTAAACCAAAGACTCCAACTGCAAGTGGTGAATATGCAGCTGATGCTGGTGTAGAAGGCTCACTTTCTATTGATCCCAATATTAGAGTTGAGGGTGAAGGTGTTGCCGGGCCCAGTGTTAGTGTTGCTCTTCCTGAAGGAAAGGCTGAGATCGAAGTTGATTCTCCCGATGTGAAGGTGAAAGGAGGAAAACCCAAAGCTAAACTGGGATCATGTTTTGGTAAACCAAAGGGTCCCAAAATTGAAGGTGAATATGAACCAGGTAAACTTGAGGGCCCAGAGGCCAGTGTTGAGGCCACTGTCAAAGCCCCAGAAGTGAAAGGTGACATCAGTGTTGAGTCTCCAGACATGAAAGTGAAAGGAGGGAAACCCAAAGCTAAACTTGGATCATGTTTCGGTAAACCAAAAAGTCCCAAAATTGAAGGTGAATATAAACCAGGCAAAGTTGACATTGAGGGCCCAGAAGTGGGAGGAAGTGCCAGTATAGAACCACTTGAGGCCCGAGCTGACATAGACGTTGAGGCACCTGAGCTTAAAGTAAAAGCTGGCACACCAGGTGCCACTATCGACATTGATTCACCTGAAGTGAAGGTGAAGGCAGGAAAACCAAAGTCAAAGTTTGGGTCTTGCTTCGGTAAACCAAAGAGTCCCAAAATTGAAGGTGAATACAAACCCGGAAAAGTAGAATTGGAAGCACCAGAAGCCAGCGTTGGTGCTAGCATTAGCTCTCCTGAAGCTAAGGCTGAAGTCAGCATTGATACTCCAGATGTGAAAGTGAAAGGAGGTAAACCAAAAGCTAAACTGGGATCTTGTTTCGGTAAACCAAAGACTCCCAAGGTTGAAGGAGAATATAAACCGGGTAAACTTGAAGTTGAGGGCCCCGAGATCAGTGCTGGGGCAAGTGTCAACACACCTGAAGCTAAGGCAGACATTGATATTGAATCACCTGATGTGAAAGTCAAAGGTGGAAAAGGAATTGGAAAGCCGAAAGTCAAGTTTGGATCATGCTTTGGCAAACCCAAGGGAGCAGACATAGACGCTTCCTACCAGCCTGGAGAGCTGAAGTTTGAAGGTCCCGAAATACCAAAAGTACGAGCTGAAGTTCCTTCCATAGAAAGGAAAATGAAAGTGGAAACACCAAAACTTGATGTTAGTCCCTCAGTTGAAGTCGACATTCTTAAACTACCTGAAGTGAAGGGAGGATTTGGAGTTGATATTGACGTACCAAAGATTGAGCCATCACTGAAAATTGAAGGTGATATTCCTGATTTACCCAAAGTTGAAGCTGAACTTGGTGGCAGAGGTAATATTCCAGATGTAGAGATTGAGGGAAAAATTCCTAAAGTTCCAGGAATTAAGGCTGATGTTGATCTTGATGGAATAACACCTGAAGTAAGATTTCAGGGTGAAATACCAGAATTACCAAAGGGAAAAGCCAGCTTGGACTTAAGTGGAGCCATCCCAAGTGTCTCTGGAGATATAAAAGGAATTGATATTTCACTACCAGATATTCCAAGTCCAAAGATTGAAGCAGAAATTAAAGGTGACCTGCCATCTGTTGAGGTCCCTGAAGCCAAGATTTCTCTGCCCTCAGGTCCCTCATTACCAGCTGCAGAGTTTAAGGGAGAAGTTAAGGCCCCAGAGTTATCTGGAACAGTGAAAATGCCACAACCTGAAGTTAAGGTCAAGAAAGCCAAACTAGGCCCATGTGCCTGTCTTGGGAAACAAGGAAAAGTGAAAAAGGAGGAGCCGTATATGGCTGCGGAAGTTGGAGGAAAAGCTAAAGGAGAACTAAAGGATATTGATGCTGGACTGGAAATTGAAAGTGAAGGTTTGAAAGTTGAAGGTCCTGAGGCACAAGCCTCTCTCAGTGTGGAAGCTCCTGAATTAAAGACAAAGAAAGGGAAAGTATCAGGGAAGCCCAAAGCTTCTTTGGGATCCTGTTTTGGTAAACCAAAGACTCCAACTGCAAGTGGTGAATATGAAGCTGATGCTGGTGTAGAAGGCTCACTTTCTATTGATCCCAAAGTTAAAGTTGAGGGTGAAGGTGTTGCCGGGCCCAGTGTTAGTGTTGCTCTTCCTGAAGGAAAGGCTGAGATCGAAGTTGATTCTCCCGATGTGAAGGTGAAAGGAGGAAAACCCAAAGCTAAATTGGGATCATGTTTCGGCAAACCCAAAAGTCCCAAAATTGAAGGTGAATATAAACCAAGTAAACTTGAGGGCCCAGAGGCCAGTGTTGAGGCTACTGTCAAAGCCCCAGAAGTGAAAGGTGACATCAGTGTTGAGTCTCCAGACGTGAAAGTGAAAGGAGGGAAACCCAAAGCTAAACTTGGATCATGTTTCGGTAAACCAAAAAGTCCCAAAATTGAAGGTGAATATAAACCAGGCAAAGTTGACATTGAGGGCCCAGAAGTGGGAGGAAGTGCCAGTATAGAACCACTTGAGGCCCGAGCTGATATAGACGTTGAGGCACCTGAGCTTAAAGTAAAAGCTGGCACACCAGGTGCCACTATCGACATTGATTCACCTGAAGTGAAGGTGAAGGCAGGAAAACCAAAAGCTAAGTTACCTTCTTGCTTCGGTAAACCAAAGAGTCCTGAAATTGAAGGTGAATACAAACCCGGAAAAGTAGAATTGGAAGCACCAGAAGCCAGCGTTGGTGCTAGCATTAGCTCTCCTGAAGCTAAGGCTGAAGTCAACATTGATACTCCAGACGTGAAAGTGAAAGGAAGTAAACCAAAAGGTAAACTGGGATCTTGTTTCGGTAAACCAAAGACTCCCAAGGTTGAAGGAGAATATAAACCGGGTAAACTTGAAGTTGAGGGCCCCGAGATCAGTGTTGGGGCAAGTGTCAACACACCTGAAGCTAAGGCAGACATTGATATTGAATCACCTGATGTGAAAGTCAAAGGTGGAAAAGGAATTGGAAAGCCGAAAGTCAAGTTTGGATCATGCTTTGGCAAACCCAAGGGAGCAGACATAGACGCTTCCTACCAGCCTGGAGAGCTGAAGTTTGAAGGTCCCGAAATACCAAAAGTACGAGCTGAAGTTCCTTCCATAGAAGGGAAAATGAAAGTGGAAACACCAAAACTTGATGTTAGTCCCTCAGTTGAAGTCGACATTCCTAAACTACCTGAAGTGAAGGGAGGATTTGGAGTTGATATTGACGTACCAAAGATTGAGCCATCACTGAAAATTGAAGGTGATATTCCTGATTTACCCAAAGTTGAAGCTGAACTTGGAGGCAAAGGTAATATTCCAGATGTAGAGATTATGGGTAAAGTTCCAGGAATTAAGGCTGATGTTGATCTTGATGGAATAACACCTGAAGTAAGATTTGAGGGTGAAATACCAGAATTACCAAAGGGAAAAGCCAGCTTGGACTTAAGTGGAGCCATCCCAAGTGTCTCTGGAGATATAAAAGGAATTGATATTTCACTACCAGATATTCCAAGTCCAAAGATTGAAGCAGAAATTAAAGGTGACCTGCCATCTGTTGAGGTCCCTGAAGCCAAGATTTCTCTGCCTTCAGGTCCCTCATTACCAGCTGCAGAGTTTAAGGGAGAAGTTAAGGCCCCAGAGTTATCTGGGACAGTGAAAATGCCACAACCTGAAGTTAAGGTCAAGAAAGCCAAACTAGGCCCATGTGCCTGTCTTGGTAAACAAGGAAAATTGAAAAAGGAGGAGCCGTATATGGCTGCTGAAGTTGGAGGACAAGCTAAAGGAGAACTAAAAGGTATTGATGCTGGACTGGAAATTGAAAGTGAAGGTTTGAAAGTTGAAGGTCCTGAGGCACAAGCCTCTCTCAGTGTGGAAGCTCCTGAGTTAAAGACAAAGAAAATGAAAGTATCAGGGAAGCCCAAAGCATCTTTGGGATCCTGTTTTGGTAAACCAAAGACTCCAACTGCAAGTGGTGAATATGCAGCTGATGCTGGTGTAGAAGGCTCACTTTCTATTGATCCCAAAATTAAAGTTGAGGGTGAAGGTGTTGCCGGGCCCAGTGTTAGTGTTGCTCTTCCGGAAGGAAAGGCTGAGATGGAAGTTGATTCTCCCGATGTGAAGGTGAAAGGAGGAAAACCCAAAGCTAAACTGGGATCATGTTTCGGAAAACCCAAAAGTCCCACTATTGAAGGTGAATATAAACCAGGTAAACTTGAGGGCCCAGAGGCAAGTTTTGAGGCTACTGTCAAAGCCCCAGAAGTAAAAGGTGACATCAGTGTTGAGTCTCCAGACGTGAAAGTGAAAGGAGGGAAACCCAAAGCTAAACTTGGATCATGTTTCGGTAAACCAAAAAGTCCCAAAATTGAAGGTGAATATAAACCAGGCAAAGTTGACATTGAGGGCCCAGAAGTGGGAGGGAGTGCCAGTATAGAACCACTTGAGGCCCGAGCTGATATAGACGTTGAGGCACCTGAGCTTAAAGTAAAAGCTGGCACACCAGGTGCCACTATCGACATTGATTCACCTGAAGTGAAGGTGAAGGCAGGAAAACCAAAAGCTAAGTTACCTTCTTGCTTCGGTAAACCAAAGAGTCCTGAAATTGAAGGTGAATACAAACCCGGAAAAGTAGAATTGGAAGCACCAGAAGCCAGCGTTGGTGCTAGCATTAGCTCTCCTGAAGCTAAGGCTGAAGTCAACATTGATACTCCAGATGTGAAAGTGAAAGGAGGTAAACCAAAAGCTAAACTGGGATCTTGCTTTGGTAAACCAAAGACTCCGAAGGTTGAAGGAGAATATAAACCGGGTAAACTTGAAGTTGAGGGCCCCGAGATCAGTGTTGGGGCAAGTGTCAACACGCCTGAAGCTAAGGCAGACATTGATATTGAATCACCTGATGTGAAAGTCAAAGGTGGAAAAGGAATTGGAAAGCCTAAAGCCAAGTTAGGGTCATGCTTTGGCAAACCCAAGGGAGCAGACATAGACGCTTCCTACCAGCCTGGAGAGCTTAAGTTTGAAGGTCCTGAAATACCAAAAGTACGAGCTGAAGTTCCTTCCATAGAAGGAAAAATGAAAGTGGAAACACCAAAACTTGATGTTAGTCCCTCAGTTGAAGTCGACATTCCTAAACTACCTGAAGTGAAGGGAGGATTTGGAGTTGATATTGATGTACCAAAGATTGAGCCATCGCTGAAAATTGAAGGTGATATTCCAGATTTACCCAAAGTTGAAGCTGAACTTGGAGGCAGAGGTAATATTCCAGATGTAGAGGTTAAAGGAAAAATTCCTAAAGTTCCAGGAATTAAGGCAGATGTTGATCTTGATGGAATAACACCTGAAGTAAGATTTGAGGGTGAAATACCAGAATTACCAAAGGGAAAAGCCAGCTTGGACTTAAGTGGAGCCATCCCAAGTGTCTCTGGAGATATAAAAGGAATTGATATTTCACTACCAGATATTCCAAGTCCAAAGATTGAAGCAGAAATTAAAGGTGACCTGCCATCTGTTGAGGTCCCTGAAGCCAAGATTTCTCTGCCCTCAGGTCCCTCATTACCAGCTGCAGAGTTTAAGGGAGAAGTTAAGGCCCCAGAGTTATCTGAAACAGTGAAAATGCCACAACCTGAAGTTAAGGGCAAGAAAACTAATCTTGGGTCTTGTTTTGGGAAACCTAAGGTTCCAGTAGAAGGTGAATATAGCCTTGGAGTAGTTGATTCTAAGGTTCCACGTGCAAGGGTTACTGCAGGTACAGAGGGTGACATAAGTATTGAGTCCCCTGATATGAAGGTTAAAGGACCAAAAGGTAAAATTGGATCATATTTTGGTAAAGCTAAGAGTCCCAAGGCTAAAGGAGAATATTCCCCAACCAAAGCACAGCTGGAAGGAGCAACAGTCAGTGGAAACGAGAGCATCAGACCCCTTGAAGTTGATGCTGATTTTCAGGTTGAAACGCCACAACTGGAATTAAAATCAGAAAAACCAAAAGCAAAGTTAGGATCTTGTTTCGGTAAACCAAAAGGTCCTAAGATTGAAGGCGAATATAAATCCGGCAAAGTTGAAGGCCCAAAAGTTGAAGGGGAGTATAAACTAGGAAAAGTTGAATTTGAAGGTCCAGACGTTAGTGGGAGCGCAAGTACCATGTCTCCAGAAACTAAGGCTGACATTGACGCTAAACTTGACCTTAAGGGAAAAGCAGCTAAACCAAAGGCTAAATTGGGGTCGTGTTTTGGAAAACCTAAGACTCACAATGTGGAATATGAATATCAACCTGGGGAGGTTAACATAGAAGGCCCTGAAGTCAGTGTCAAATATCCGGAAGGGGATGTATCAGATTTACCGAAGTTACCCGATGTAGATATAGCAGCGAAAGCCCCTGTCCCTCCATCTCGTCGAGGTAAAGTAAGAGCAAAAGCAGAAATCCCTGGCTTTAACATTGGGGGCAAGGTTCCAGGGTATGATGCCAATATTGACTTAAAATCAAATGTTCCAGATGTTTTAGTAGGAACGGAAATCCCCACAATTGGCGGCGAAGTCGATTATAGTTTGAATGGTCTTACCACAAAACTTGCAGTTGATGAGCCTGGATTTGGTGGAGAATTTGACTTGAAAACTGAAATTCCCAAAGTAAGTGGTGGTGTAGACATTAATGGCTATGACAGTAATATAAATTTAAATACAAACTTTCCAAAGGCGAGAGTAGGAGCACATATTCCAGGCTACGAGCAAAACTTTGATAGAAAAACAGATGTAAAGGGCAATGTTGACATAACAGGAATTGGAGGCAAATTTGACATAACATCTGATGTCCCAGATATCAAAGGTGTTGGTGATATTACAGGATTTGGCGGTAAAATTAGCCTAAAAACTGATGTTCCAGATATCAAAGGAAATGCTGATATTCCTGGATTTGGAGACAAAATTACCTTAAAAACTGATGTTCCAGATATCAGAGGCAGTGCAGATATTCCAGGATTTGGAGGTAAAATTGATTTGAAGACTGATATTCCAGATGTAAATGGCAGTGCTGATATTCCAGGATTTGGAGGAAAATATGCAATAAAAACTGATCTTCCAGATATCAAGGGAAACATCAATATTCCAGGATTTGGTGGCAAATTTGGTATGACAAGTGATGTTCCAGATATTAAGGGAAATGCTGATGCTCCAGGATTTGAAGGAAAAATTGGCTTGAAAACTGATATTCCAGACATTAAAGGCAGTGCTGGTATTCCTGGATTTGGAAACAAATATGGCTTGACGGCTGACGTTCCAGATGTCAAGGGAAGCGTTGATATTCCAGGATTTGGACCCAAAATTAGTCTGAAAACCGATATTCCGGAAATTAAAGGCGGTGCTAACATTCCTGGATTTGGAGGCAAATTTGGCTTGAAAACCGAAATTCCTGATATCAAAGGCAGTGCTGATATACCTGAATATAGAAGCAAATTTGGTTTGACAACTGATGCTCCAGATATCAAAGGAAGTGCAGATATTCCTGGATTTGAAGGTAAGATTGGCATGGAAACTGAGAGTCCAGATATTACAGACAAAGCCGGTTTTCCTGGATTTGGAGGCAAATTTGGCTTAACAGCTAACGTTCCAGAAATCAAGGGTAGTGCTAATATTCCGAGATTTGGAGGCAAATTTGATATGAAGACTGATATTCCAGACATCAAAGGAAGTGCTGATATTCCAGACATCAAAGGAAGTGCTGATATTCCAGACATCAAAGGAAGTGCTGATATTCCAAGATTTGGAGGAAAAATTGGCTTGACAACTGATATTCCAGACATCAAAGGAAGTGCTGATATTCCAGGATTTGGAGGAAAATATGGCTTGACAACTGATATTCCAGACATCAAAGGAAGTGCTGATATTCCTGGATTTGGAGGAAAAATTGACTTAAAAGCTGATGTTCCAGATATCAAAGGAAGTGCAGATATTCCTGGATTTGGAGGCAAAATTGGATTAACAACTAATGTTCCGGACATCAAAGGAAGTGCTGATATTCCAGGATTTGGAGGAAAAATTGGTTTAAAAGCTGATGTTCCAGATATCAAAGGAAGTGGAGATATTCCTGGATTTGGAGGAAAAATTGGATTAACAACTGATGTTCCAGACATTAAAGGAAGTGCTGATATTCCTGGATTTGGAGGAAAAATTGGCTTAAAAGCTGATGTTCCAGATATCAAAGGAAGTGCTGATATTCCAAGATTTGGAGGCAAAATTGGCTTGACAACTGATATTCCAGACATCAAAGGAAGTGCTGATATTCCAAGATTTGGAGGAAAAATTGGCTTGACAACTGATATTCCAGACATCGAAGGCAGTGCTGATATTCCTCGATTTGGAGGCAAAATCGGCTTAAAAGCTGATGTTCCAGATATCAAAGGCAGTGCAGATATTCCTGGATTTGGAAGCAAAATTGGCTTAAAAGCTGATGTTCCAGATATCAAAGGAATTGGAGATATTCCAGGATTTGGAGGCAAAATTGGATTAACAACTGATGTTCAAGACATCAAAGGAAGTGCTGATATTCCAGGATTTGGAGGAAAAATTGGCTTAAAAGCTGACGTTCCAGATATCAAAGGAAGTGCTGATATTCCAGGATTTGGAGGCAAAATTGGATTAACAACTGATGTTCCAGACATTAAAGGAAGTGCTGATATTCCTGGATTTGGAGGAAAAATTGGCTTAAAAGCTGATATTCCAGATATCAAAGGCAGTGCTGATATTCCAGGATTTGGAGGAAAAATTGGATTAACAACTGATATTCCAGACATCAAAGGAAGTGCTGATATTCCAAGATTTGGAGGAGAAATTGACTTGCCAACTGATATTCCAGACATCAAAGGAAGTGCTAATATTCCAGGATTTGGAGGCAAAATTGGCTTAAAAGCTGATGTTCCAGATATCAAAGGAAGTGCTAATATTCCAGGATTTGGAGACAAAATTGGCTTGGAAACCGATGTTCCAAATATCAAAGGCAGTGCAGATATTCCTGGATTTGGAGGCAAAATTGGCTTGAAAGCTGATGTTCCAGATATCAAAGGAAGTGCTGATATTCCAGGATTTGGAGGAAAAATTGGATTAAAAGCTGATGTTCCAGATATCAAAGGAAGTGCAGATATTCCTGGATTTGGAGGCAAAATTGGATTAACAACTGATGTTCCAGACATCAAAGGAAGTGCTGATATTCCAGGATTTGGAGGAAAAATTGGCTTAAAACCTGATGTTCCAGATATCAAAGGCAGTGCTGATATTCCAGGATTTGGAGGAAAAATTGGATTAAAAGCTGATGTTCCAGATATCAAAGGAAGTGCAGATATTCCAGGATTTGGAGGCAAAATTGGATTAACAACTGATATTCCAGACATCAAAGGAAGTGCTGATATTCCAGGATTTGGAGGAAAAATTGGCTTAAAAGCTGATATTCCAGACATCAAAGGAAGTGCTGATATACCAAGATTTGGAGGAGAAATTGACTTGCCAACTGATATTCCAGACATCAAAGGAAGTGCTAATATTCCAGGATTTGGAGGCAAAATTGGCTTAAAAGCTGATGTTCCAGATATCAAAGGAAGTGCAGATATTCCTGGATTTGGAGGCAAAATTGGATTAACAACTGATGTTCCAGACATCAAAGGAAGTGCTGATATTCCAGGATTTGGAGGAAAAATTGGCTTAAAGGCTGATGTTCCAGATATCAAAGGCAGTGCTGATATTCCAGGATTTGGAGGAAAAATTGGTTTAACAACTGATGTTCCAGACATCAAAGAAAGTGTTGATATTCCAGGATTTGGAGGAAAAATTGGATTAACAACTGATATTCCAGACATCAAAGGAAGTGCTGATATTCCAAGATTTGGAGGAGAAATTGACTTGCCAACTGATATTCCACACATCAAAGGAAGTGCAGATATTCCAGGATTTGGAGGCAAAATTGGCTTGGAAACCGATGTTCCAAATATCAAAGGCAGTGCAGATATTCCTGGATTTGGAGGCAAAATTGGCTTAAAAGCTGATGTTCCAGATATCAAAGGCAGTGCAGATATTCCAGGATTTGGAGGAAAAATTGGCTTAAAAGCTGATGTTCCAGATATCAAAGGCAGTGCAGATATTCCTGGATTTGGAGGCAAAATTGGCTTGGAAACCGAGGTTCCAGATATCAAAGGCAGTGCAGATATTCCTGGATTTGGAGGCAAAATTGGCTTAAAAGCTGATGTTCCAGATATCAAAGGCAGTGCAGATATTCCTGGATTTGGAGGCAAAATTGGCTTGGAAACCGATGTTCCAGATACCAAAGGAGGTGCTGATATTCCAAGATTTGGAGGAAAAATTGGCTTGAGAACTGATATTCCAGACATCAAAGGAAATGCTGATATTCCAGGATTTGGAGGAAAAATTGGATTAACAACTGATATTCCAGACATCAAAAGAAGTGCTGATATTCCAGGATTAGGAGGAAAATGTGGCTTGACAGCTGATATTCCAGACATCAAAGGAAGTGCTGATATTGCAGGCTTTGGAGGTAAAATTGGCTTGGAAACCGATGTTCCAGATATCAAAGGCAGTGCAAAAATTCCTGGATTTGGAGGCAAAATTGGCTTGGAAACCGAGGTTCCAGATATCAAAGGCAGTGCAGATTTTCCTGGATTTGGAGGCAAAATTGGCTTAAAAGCTGATGTTCCAGATATCAAAAGCAGTACAGATATTTCTGGATTTGGAGGCAAAATTGGCTTGGAAACCGATGTTCCAGATATCAAAGGAGGTGCTGATATTCCAAGATTTGGAGGAAAAATTGGCTTGACAACTGATATTCCAGACATCAAAGGAAGTGCTGATATTCCAGGATTTGGAGGAATATGTGGCTTGACAACTGATATTCCAGACATCAAAGGCAGTGCTGATATTCTAGAATTTGGAGGCAAAATTGGCTTGGAAACCGATGTTCCAGATATCAAAGGCAGTGCAGATATTCCTGGATTTGGAGGCAAAATCGGCTTAAAAGCAGATGTTCCAGATATCAAAGGCAGTGCAAATTTTCCTGGATTTGGAGGCAAAATTGGGTTAAAAGCTGATGTTCCAGATATCAAAGGAAGTGCTAATATTCCAGGATTTGGAGGCAAAATTGGCTTGGCAACCGATATTCCAAATATCAAAGGCAGCGCTGGTATTCCTGAAGTTGGAGGCAAAATTGGTTTGACAACTGACGTTCCAGAAATCAAGAGCAGTGCTGAGATTCCAGGATTTGGAAGCAAAATTGATTTCAAGACTAATGTTCCAGATATCAAAGGAAGTGCTGATATTCCAGGATTTGGAGGAAAAGTTGGCTTGACAACTGATATTCCAGACATCAAAGGAAGTTCTGATATTCCAGGATTTGGAGGAAAAATTGGTTTAAAAGCTGATGTTCCAGACATCAAAGGAAGTGCTGATATTCCAGGATTTGGTGGAAAAATTGGCTTGACAACTGATATTCCAGACATTAAAGGAAGTGCTGATATTCCAGAATTTGGAGGAAAAATTGGCTTGACAACTGATATTCCAGACATCAAAGGAAGTGCTGATATTCCAGGATTTGGAGGAAAAATTGGCTTAAAAGCTGATGTTCCAGACATCAAAGGAAGTGCTGATATTCCAGGATTTGGAGGAAAAATTGGCTTGACAACTGATATTCCAGACATCAAAAGCAGTGCTGATATTCCAGGATTTGGAGGAAAAATTGGCTTAAAAGCTGATGTTCCAGACATCAAAGGAAGTGCTGATATTCCAGGATTTGGTGGAAAAATTGGCTTGACAACTGATATTCCAAACATTAAAGGAAGTACTGATATTCAAGAATTTGGAGGAAAAATTGGCTTGACAACTGATATTCCAGACATCAAAGGAAGTGCTGATATTCCAGGATTTGGAGGAAAAATTGGCTTAAAAGCTGATGTTCCAGACATCAAAGGAAGTGCTGATATTCCAGGATTTGGTGGAAAAATTGGCTTGACAACTGATATTCCAGACATCAAAGGAAGTGCTGATATTCCAGGATTTGGAGGCAAAATTGGCTTGGAAACCGATGTTTCAGATGTCAAAGGCAGTGCAGATATTCCTGGATTTGGAGGTAAAATTGGCTTAAAAGCTGATGTTCCAGATATCAAAGGCAGCGCTAGTATTCCTGAAGTTGGAGGCAAAATTGGCTTGAAAACTGACGTCCCAGAAATCAAGAGCAGTACTGATATTTCTGGATTTGAAAGCAAAATTGATTTCAAGACTGATGTTCCAGACATCAAAGGCAGAGCTGATATTCCAGGTTTTGAAAGTAAATTTGGTTTGAAGACCGATAGTCCTGACACTGGAGGCATTTCTGATATTTCTGGATTTGGAGGCAAAATTGGCATAAAAGCTGATGTTCCCGATATCAAAGGCAGCGCTAGTATTCCTGAAGTTGGAGGAAAAATTGGTTTGACAGGTGACATCCCAAAAGTCAAGGGCAGCGCTGTTGTTCCAGGACTTAGAGGCAAAATTGATTTGAAAACTGATACTCCGGACGTGAAAGGAATTGCTGATATTCCGGGATTTGAAGGCAAATTTGACTTGGAAACTGATGTTCCAGATATCAAAGGCAGTTCTGGTATTCCTAGATTTTTAGGGAAATTTGGGTTGAAAACTGATTTTCCAGACATTAAAGGAAGTGCTGATGTTCCAGGATTTGGAGGAGAAATTGGCTTGAAAACAGATATTCCAGATATCAAAGGTACTGCCGATATTCCAGGATTTGGAAGTAAAATTAGCATGAAAACTGATATTCCAGATATCGAAGGCAGTGCTGAGATTCCAGATTTTGTTGGTAAAATAGGCTTTTCAACAGATGTTCCTGAGGTAAAAGACAACGCAGATATTCCTAGTTTTAATAAGCCTGACTTAAAGATTGACGTTCCAAACATCAAAGGTGGGGTCGAAGTTCCAGGAATTAGTGACACAGTTTCCTTAAAAACTGATATTTCAAATATCGAAGGCTGTGTTAATATTCCTAGATTTGGAGGAAAAATTGACCTGATAGCTGATGTTCCAGATTCTAGTGATAGTACAAATATTCCTGGATTTGGAGACAAATTTGATGTGAAAGCTTATGAATCATCAGAATTTGAAGACAAAATTAAGATGTCAGATGCCCCAAACGTCAAGGGCAGTACCGTTTTTCCAGGATTTGGAGTGAAAACTGATATAAAATCTAGTATTCCAGTACTGAAAGGCAGAACAGATGTTCCTGGAGCTTTGGGTAAAGTTGAATTTAAATCAGATATATCAGGTTATAAGGGACATCTCGGCGACGACAGTACTCTTTCTGGTGATGATGATGACGAAGAATCTCATGTCAAGGAAACACTAAACACTGGGGAATTTAAAACAAAAATACCATCATTCAGCATCAAGTCATGGGCACCAGAGCCTTCAGTCCCTCTGTCACTCGCAGTTAATATTCCTGAAACGAAGCTTGGGACAGCAACAGAGTCTGCTAAACTCGATCAGAGCTTTGGTGTTCCTGACACTGATGTAAGTGTTAGTGGACGTGGCTCCAGGAAGAAAAGGAGAAGTGGATGGAAGAAAGACAAAGCAGATGTAAAGACTGAAGAAGACGTTGAAGACGAAAAATCATCGGATGCTCGAAGTAAGTCTGGCGGTGGAGCACCAGACTATACTACTCATGTGAAGTTTGGTTCTGCTGTACCTTCTGTAACACCACACGAAGGAGGTACTGACATTACTGCCAATCTGCCAGATGTAACAGTAAAAAGCAAAATACCTAGATTCACTGGAGTTGTAAGTACAGAGGAGGTGCCATGTGTGGACTCCACTCACCCGGGTTACCCAATAGTCAGTAGTTCGGCTAGTCAGGATTCTAAGGCCGAAATTAGTGGAATCCCCGTGCTGAGTGGACGTCTTCCAGAAGCTTATTTACCACAGGGAGTAGGGGTCTTACAGGGAAACATTCCAACCACAACAGTCCAGTCTAGTGCACCTCCCATTGGATGGGTTATACCAGCACCAACTGGATGGGTAATGCCACCACCTACTTCACAAACTATTAGTCAGAGGATTGTAGTTAGAGATGGACAGCCATTTACTCAAGAAATAGTATTACCACACACACAACTTGCTAGTGACTTAGCGCCAGGGCAAGTAGACTTTTCACACAGTGTTGTGTCAGACGGGTCAGTTCCTCATAGCGTTAGTAGAGAGTACACAATATCCACAGAACAAGAGCGAGCCCAAGATGTCGAGTCTTATATTAAGGGTAAATTGGGTCCATTTAAAATTACTCCCGAAAGAACAGTGATCGGAAGTAAAACAGAGACGATAATTGAAGGTCCTGGCGATGCAGCCCCCAGCAGGTCTGGGGAGCAGCGGATCCAGGGCCTGGGGTCAGACCCCGCAGGGGAGTGGGTCATGGGCCCCTATTCTTACCAAGTAAGAATGGAAACGGATTCAGAAGGTAAAATAATAAGAGAACCTGAGGTTAGCGATGTACATGGAAGACTGTTGACGGGGGGCGAGGCAGACTCGCGAGGAAGTAAACAGTCTCGAACAGTGTTTGTGACGGAAGATGCTGGAGGAAGGGTAGTGGTTCACAGAAGAATGGAACCTTCAAGCACTTCCTTACCAAAGACAGACAGCCATACAGTGGTAACTCAGGAACTTCCATCAACCATTACGTCAACCGTGACTACCAGTGAATGGCCACCGAAGAGCATCACAACACAAAGAACTGTTCGGGTTAGGAAAATTAGGAAAATCAAAGTTGGCGATGGACCCGAGGAAACGGTTGTTGAAAGTGAATACGAGACAATACCTGGCCAGGAAGAACCTTTCAGAATTGAAGGTTTTGATGAGAGTGGGGCTCTGCGAATCACACCGGGGGCAGAGCAAGATTTGTCACACCTGCCGCCTGAACTTAGAGAAAGCTCTCTACTCCGCTTTGGTCTCGGCCAAAGGGAGACACCCGGAGAAGCACACCAAACCGTTCAAACAACTGTCAGAAGAATACCAGATGAAGAGCTCGGTGCGCTTCTTCCCGAAGGATTTGACGAAAATATCCATAAAGTTATGGGCGCGACGACGACAACAACAACAGTGCGGAAAGTCAAGGTAATAAAAAGGGACGAAAGCGGAAATATTATCGAATACGAAGACGACAGCGGGGACCTGAGTATCCTGCCCCCTGACCTGACCTCCGGAGGTGTCACTACCACCACCAAAACCACCGACGGAGGAACGACCACGACCACGACCACACGAGTCATAAGACGAGTGATTACAGGTGAGCTGACAGACGACGGCCTCATAGAGGCTGCGGTGGTCAGCGAGCGTGAGGGCGGAGTAGTGAGGGAAGGAGAGGCCCAGACTTCTGCCTCTCACAGAACACAGTGAGTCACTCCCAATACAACGAAAATCTGTATATTTATGCTGTGAATGTGCTTGAAAAACGTGCTATTTATGTACATATATACCGTCATGTAAGCTACAGCAGCTTATGTCTTTGTGTGAACACCTTCAAATGACTGTCGTTGTGTTATACCTCGCTTCATAAACATGATTCCTGCACCTAGTACGTGCGGGGGTGACAGTGCCTTATAAGGTATGCTCAAAGACATGCAGAAAACCTATATTCACAACGACAGAGGTGCCTTATCTCTCCTATGCATGAACACAACGTGCTCTCCTCACCCCACGTGTCCGTCCAGCAAGTGCCAACACTCCTTCACCCCCCCCACAGCCCATCCACTCAACCCCACAACTAAGGGTAAGTTCCATGTCTCATTCTGTCCGCTAACAGCTTCATTAACCTTCACTACCGCTATCATTCTTTCATTTAACTTCACTAATATTAATATATAACGGTGAAGAGTGACGTCTGGTGGCGCAGAGTGACGTGTTTTTAGCTAACCACGACCTGTTGGCTTAATAAATATCCAAATAAAAATAAATTATTTAAACCTTTCAAATCGTTTGGCAAAAAAAAAGATCATGTACAAAATTCACAATAACACAATCCATTTCACCTTTCCAATCATTCCTGATTGGAATGGAGGCTGTCCACCAGTAATATTTCAATTATTTTCATAAAAGCTTATTAAACTTAATTCATTAACGTTTTTCTCCACGAATAATTCGCTAGAGGCTGTACTTCTAACAATGTTCTAATCAATGATCGAAATCTCTAATGTGTACATACGTGTTCAAGAGGTGACGGCGTTGGCAACTGTGTTCCAAATCTCTGCAAGTGTTACCAATGTTCTGATCACAAGTGTTGCATGGGGCTGATGTAGCTACAGCCGCACAGTGTAACCGCTCACTTATATGTTAATAATATCCTTTATTAAACCGCACATCGTAAATTCAACATTGCTATTAAATAATTTCAGTGAAACAACTTTGGTCTCAGAGATATACCATGTGTATGTCTCTGGCAGCCCGTCCTCCTGTGGTTCCCCAACGTCAAGAAACTGTCGTACTAACGTGCCCTTATCCTAACCTACCAGAGGACCCAAACCAGAAAACGGGACAGTATGTCAATTTCGCCAGCCGCTCCCATTTTCTAGTATGACATTGTTTGGCCTTAGGTAGTGTACGTCAAAATGCGACAGGCTATTAGGAGCACGGGCTGTTGTCCTCTCTTATTGTAGCTCGGTCGGTAGAGCGACCGCTTCCCCATGCTTGGGGTCGGTTGTTCGAGGCTCCTAATGCCCAAGTGAATAAAATGTTCAATCCACGATATTGTAGTCAATCCACGCTAGTTGTAGTTGTGTATATATATATATATATATATATATATATATATATATATATATATATATATATATATATATATATATATATATATATATATATATATATATGCCTCTTAACTATTTTCTTAGTATTAGTATTAAAAAGAACATTCAAGTTACCAAAATTCATGGTGAAGAGACTGCTTGATAGCAAGTAACTCGTGTAATTATTGAAGGAGATATTTTCTACAACGTATCGTTCCTCTCTGGAACATCTTCAGGTAAAGAATAAATACAGGATGTACACTTTTTGTTAAATACACACGTGAAGGTTGAAAGGGTGAGGGGTGAGGGTTGAGGATTGAAGGGTGAGGGTTGAAGGGGGTGGGGCAGTGAAACATGGGGTAAGATAGGTGGGAGTTAATGCCTGGATGAATGTAGCAAGGTTACAAAGGTTACGTGGTTGGTAAGGTTACGTGGTTGGGGTGCCAGGGTTACCCTGGCACCCCAACCACGCTAGAGTGAATGGAGCGAGGTTACAAGCGCACCCTGGCACCCCAACCACGCCAGAGTGAATGGAACGAGGTTACAAACACACAGAGCCTCTTTCTGCCGGGCTCATTTGCATATCAGTTGTGTGAAAGGTGCGGTGCACGCGAGGAGGTGTGTGGTGCTCGCCAGGTTTATGCATGTGCAGAAAGCTGGCGATAAGGAAGGCGGAACGAACGAATGTTTAGGGATCAAATATACGCACGAATTTTGAATCCTTTACAACTTGTGGAAGGAGCCGCCCAGCACATGACCACATAAGTGTGGACGCAAATAAGCACACGCCCTCGCACATACACGCGTGTGTGTGCGCGCGTGCACGTACGTGTGTGTGCGCGCGTGCACGTACGTGTGTGTGTGTGCGCGCGCGTGTACGTACGTGTGTGTGTGTGCGCGCGTGCACGTACGTGTGTGTGCGCGTGTGCACGTACGTGTGTGTGCGCGCGTGCACGTACGTGTGTGTACTCACCTAACGTGTGTGTGTGTGTGTGTGTGTGAGGTGCCGCCAGGGCTCACAAAGACACACACACCACCGACACTGACAAAGGTGAGAGGGAACCACAGACCACCACACGAAGCTTGGGACCCCATCTTCCATTCTCAGTCAGTAGTAAGGCACCATGTAACGTCATGTATATCCCATAAAAAAAAATCTAGAACGTCCTAGACATAAACTTTCTTGAAGTAATGTGTACCTACGTGAGACCATTACTGGAATATGCATCGCCGGTATGGAGTCCTATTCTCATAAAGCTCAATATTAAATAGGAGACAACACAATGGTTGGCCACAAGCTTAGCTCGAGAAGTAACGTTTGTGGGCAGGAAGCCTGGCAGAGTGACCCTTGTCTGTGAAGATGGGAGCGAGGAGACACACCTGGGCACACACCTGGACACACACCTGCCCGCGGGGGTTGACCTACGAGCCGTGGACACAAACCTCACACGGGAGAACACCACGTCATCACTACAGTTATGTCACTACCACGCCCCACAACACGGGCATGTCGGAAGGTCACTCAGCGTGACTGATGCTCCTGGCGACAGGTGGCAGCCACACCAACTATTCATAGGGCATGACGCGCGTCCTTTACACACACACACACACACACACACACACACACACACACACACACACACACGCGCGCGCGCGCGCGCTCGGAATCATTCAGTGTAATCATTTGTGTAAGGAATCATTCAGAACCTTGTATACCACATAAGTAAGGCCAATCCTGGGGTATGCGGACCCAGCATAGAGCCCGTACCTTGTCAAGCATAAGAAGAAGCTAGAAAAAATTCAGAGGTATGCCACTAGGCTAGTCCCAGAACTATTTTTTTTAATTAATACATGAGGTACATCTGCATTAGTGCAGCTACCCTAGACTATATGAAGTGGAGTACAGTGTGTCAAAAAAGCTAACTAGGTGATGCTAAAACATCTCCATCACACAGGATGGTTAGTCATACAGAGGCATGTGATGGGCAGTCTGCACTGGCAGACTCCGGAAGCATTTTGAGGATATCATCAACACAAGAGTGAATAAGGCAGCAGTGGTAATAAAAGTCCCCATCTCGCAGGATGGTTAGTCATACAGGGCCAGATGTTTAGTAGCCTGCACTGGCAAATTTTGGGTACATTGTGAAGATATCTTCAAGAATACGAGAGTGAATAAAGAAATTGCAAAGTGCTTCAGTGAGTGTATAACTCTACGGTCGTAGCTTGCCATCGGACTACGAGTGCGGTCACTCTGCCACCCGCCTCTAGGACGAAAATAAAGCAGGTGCGGCCGAGTAGAGTGTGAGTGTTGGCGCGTCGTGCATCAGGATGTGCAGTGTTGCACGTCTCACACGCATCTCTGACTGTTCCTGCAGTAGTGGCCCGCTTGGCGTCCTCAGTGTTGCACGTCTCACATGCATCTCTGACTGTTCCTGCAGTAGTGGCCCGCTTGGCGTCCTCAGTGTTGCACGTCTCACACGCATCTCTGACTGTTCCTGCAGTAGTGGCCCGCTTGGCGTCCTCACTCTGGTGTAAACATTGCAATTCTTATATTATATTTGTTACCAGGCGCGCTCACTCCCTCGTGACTTGCTTCTAACTCCTGGGGACATTTATGTGTTATTCTTCTATTCTTATTCTTTCTCATTATTTCCTTTCTCTCTCCTCTGTTCTCCACCATGTCCCCAGACTCTCAGGTCCCACAGGACGAGAGCCTTATGTTTCTGACCGGCGTAGCCAGTAAACAGTCAGGTGGCCTCCACTATCTCCCTCTCTCCGACCTCCATACCTCTCTGGAGGCCAGGTATGGGCCTCCAGCCCCTACCTCGCCCTCCGCTGGAGGTCGACCTCTCTGCAGCTTCTACCCTCTCCTCTCCGCAGTGGTTACGACAGGTTGACAGTTGATACATTATGTTTCATAGCAGGTCGGGGATAATTCTCAAGTCAGTTTTAGTGTCAGCTGAACTTTAAGTGCAAAAAGGCTGTTGAAAAGTCCTGGGAAGTGGAACGACTGATTACCTTACTGGTCGGTTAAGTGGCAGTGCAAAAGGTTCTGTTTCTTGAGTCTTTACAGAAGCACCTCCCCCCCCTCTTATAAAAAATAATAATAAAAATAACAACAATAATAGTAATAAAGATGGTCAAAGAGAACATCAAAACATGTGTGGAAGCATCGGTGTGTGTGTATATGAATGCTACACAGTATTCAATTATAGACATCCGTACATGCTAAAATACACGTGAAGAATCTCACACACTCACAGCTCCCCGACAAGAGAGAACAAGCGTAGCTTAGCTGCCAACACCCACACATCGTGTCAGCAAGACGGACAGTCCGCCTGTTTTCATAACTCTCACTGTATTTACCAATTCTAAACTTTCCTTTACCTGTACCTCTTCATCCCATGACACCCCCCCCCCCCCCCGTCCAGAAAAATTAAAATTAGATGTGGCCGCTGAAACAGTCAGTATGGCCAGCAGTCCAGCCCACATCATAGTGATGGTACAGTATAGTCCAGTTGTTGTACCACCGTAGCTGTAATGGCAGCTGGGCGACCACACGCGCCTCTACTCCTCTTGTGGACTACCAACCCCTCCCACAACTCACCCAA